TCATCCCAAACAGTGGTCACAATGGACTCCCAATGGACTCCCAATGCTTCCTGGAACGCTTCCCTCAAAATGCACACAGGGGGCGTTAGCTCAAAATCCCAACCATTGAGAGAATGGGTTGCAGAACACATTGGCAATCTGTTTCTCTCAATGGTTCACAGCCCAACGCCCCCATTATTTGCTGGGTACTACTTGTAAGATTAAATTGCTTTTTGACTTGAGAATCTTCATTTATGGAAAATACAGGTGGTACCTTGCAATTCTATACCTCCTGCAATTTGACCATCCTGAAATTTGATAGTCAAATTTGCAGGGAGGTTGACTTGCACTTCAACCCTTGTCCCACAATTGGACAGGCCTTCTCCATTTTTTTTTCATTTTTGTACTACGCGTATTGCACTATACACAGGTCCAAAGTGAAACTGATGAAAGTTATGCAATTAAGCAGAGGGTTTGAAATATGGTACGGTTTTCACAATCGGGTTGACATTTCATTATTAGTGATCTCGTTTGGTCAAAAAAAACATGGCAACGAATTAAGATGATTGGCTAAAGTTTCCTTTTGTGCAGTTAAGGACCTAAGGAGAAAGTCTTCGAAAACTCTCTCTCCGTGTTTATTGTTTACAGTTCAAACGTGAGTATTGTATCGCCATAACATTTTCATCAGTGTGTGTTTATTCTGGCTTGCAAAGACGTTATAAACATAGCATGCCATCCTTGGCTCGTCTTTTCTAAAGGATTTGCTGGAATTCTTATGAGAAGTTTTATGCATATTGAAAGTATAGATGCTCTGTATGGTGGAAATAAACGTGGAAATACGTACAGTATATAAATTTGAGTCAGTGTTTTCGACAAGTCGGCGAAACTTCAATACCCATATATAGAATTCATACGTGGAGACAACAGAGTTCGGCAGTTCATGATTGCTACTAATTTGAACAGTTGAATGACTGCTGAAAGAGAACAAAACTATGCAAATCGTGCCTGCCGCGGAATTGCTCGCTGTTACCCTCATCATCAGCTGCAGCTTGGTCTTGTCAGGTAATTCTGCACAAACAAATTCAAAAACGTTAATATTGAATCCGTTCTAATAATTTGTTAAATCCGCATGAAAATGAATCCCAAGGATTTTACCTCTGGGATTTTGATAATTCCCCAAGCGAGAGTGAAATTGAGAAATCCTGAATGGAGGCCATTTAAATTATTTCGTTCTAATTCTTGAGCCTGCTTCGATCCTTTCTACAAATGAAATTCATTAGATTTTTCATAAGCCTCGAGAATGGATTGCGATGTTTATGAACTCAAGAATCTATATAATAAATCAGACGGAATTCTGTTCACTAGAATAGAAGCAATAATATAGATGATGTGAATTTATTATTCCGAAAAGTAAAAATGTATGTACTGTACATCCGGAAAAGCCGTCCGGTATTTTTCTTGATGGTTTTCAGAGACATGAAGGATTCTATGATTCAAGAATGACATCTGTTATAATTATAAGATAGTGGCGTGAAATATTTCCTCAGTTTGTCGGAAGTCTGTGGTCTTAAATCCCATCCATTTTTCAATTCCTCAGATGATGCCAGCAGCTATATTAGCTAGGGTATAAAGAGGAATGTTCGTTGCAATAACATATACTTTTTACAGTAAATTTTGCGGCAAAATTTACATAATTTATTGCAGCTGTCTGTGAGTCCACCTCATTCAATCAACATTTTATAAATGTAAACGTGGAGCCAGCACAGGGAAAAAAGTTTCGATATTCACTAGTTCACAGCACTTATATATGTTAATATCCCAAGTACAGTATCTAAATTTCAATCCCCTGCAGACGAATTTAGGAAAGAACACGCACGGAGGTTAATTAATTTTACATTTGTAAAATTTGAGAATGCTTTTCAAGAAAAGTTCTATATACATGTTCTGTATATAGCTGCTGTATAACATCCGCGAATTAATTCTTTGTTTTTCGTGTTCGAATCAATTAGTTTTTCTTCGGTGGTATATATTTCCATTTGATTTTTGAAGATCAGTATAGCTCATGGCTCGTGCAGTGAAATAACTGAAATTAAGGTATTAGATCTCATCACGATCAACAATAATATTCGAAAATTTTCAAAAACTTTATTATACAGATGCCAAAAGAAAAAATGCAAACCGATTTGCATCATTTGGGGAAATTCCACGGACCTTTGAAAAAGGAAAAGGCACCGATGAATCTGCTGTGGCAACCGAAGAAAAAGTGTTGTTTTCAAGCAGAAATCAACTGATCGACGAGACGAAACAAACAAGCGGATTTTTGTCATTCAATGATCTTGAACGCGAATCAAGAAAGCTCAAAGAAACGGGAGCAGAAGGATCCACGGCCATCGAAGTAACAATTGACAATAATTTCCGGAATAATGTCATATCCAGTTTTCACGATATATCCAAGGAACTGGAGATTCTGGCAGGATTTTTCGGGCCTCATCGTTGGAATCCAGAAAACACATCGCCAAACATTGCATCGTCGAAAATGTTGCATCGTATTCGTCGCACGAAAAGATCGCCGCAATTCACGACCCGCAAAACTTGTTCTGTATCGCAGGATACATTATTAAGCCTGAAGAAAGAAATCGACCAGCACGCACTGAATTCAGCTTCGCCTCGAAAATACCCTGTTAAATGCCTGATTTCATCTTCGGGAATCGCAGAAAATTGTGAGAAATTGGTGCAACTGATTCAATGCGGAATCAACAAGATACTTCAGAGTTTCATTACTGCGACACTAAATTCAATCTCTCTCGAAAAATTCCAATCATTCCGTGCCGAAAGCGATCGACTGATCGCCAAATTACAACGAGAATTGAACGATTCTAGAAAAAGCGTTGATGCTGAGGTGAAGCTGCAAGTGGACACCGTTCTCGAGGAATTGCAATCGATCAAAAATCAACTTTACGAGAGAGATCAGGAGTTGGAAGCAAGCATTGTGTCACTCTGTGGCTCTGAAATTGATACTGGAAATATCAAAAGTGCCATTGCCGCGTATGCGAGACTTGGAAGCAATTCTTCACACCTTCCACAAATAGTCGCGAAATCATATTCCCATAAAGGATTGCAAGCATTTGACAACATACTCAAATTTGGCGACGATCTGCCATATTCCAATCAACGTGTCATCGTCTATGAACAATTGTACGAACAAATGAAGAAGCGAGGGGATAATGGAAACCCCAAAATACTGACTTTGTTGCAAGATGATCTTTCGGCGGGCGGCAGTTATCTGGCTAAACGTTTGCAACATGAAATGAACAACTTGATTTCCGCTTTCGGTGCACAAATCCGCCATGGGGACATCTCAAATGCCATGAAGGAATTCGCAAGAGTTTACCACGAAGCATTTCTCAAAAGTATGAGCAGATTGATCAAGGAGGCTTATGCAAACAATGTCGGGAACACCGAAAACATCATCAGTTTCATAGCCAAACTCCCTCGAGTGAGAGATCGTGTGGTCGGATACCCAATCCTTCTCACTGCCATCAAAGAGAATCACGGCATGAATGGCCATCAAACCCTCATGGTGGCTTACAGAATCAGGGAAACCTTGAAGAATGTAGGAGATGCTACCACGGAGGAACAAAACTCACTCTCGCGAGCCAAAGACGAACTTCCCAGCAGTATTCGAGCATTGTTCTGGGACAGCTATATACACATAAAAAGTCGTCAACTGCCGGGCAATTACCTGGGAATGAAATTATCTTATCGCGGACGCGATGCTAGTAGAGAAGTGTGGACTTTGTCCACGTGTCCCTCGTCTCAAACAAGGTTTGAAAGGGATTGGACAGTGAATATTCATGAAAATGGACGATACTTTACCTTCAGCACGGCGGGGGATCACGGCAAGATGAGTAGTAATTGGTGGTCGCTGGATCCACGGCAAAATGGAGCTTATTTCATTTTCACCAATAAGGATAACGGAGGTGTTCTTGATTCAAACGGCCTTGAACGGTTCTGGTTTTTCGGTTGGCATAATGAACCTTGTTCCAAGGTTCATCAGTACAGTAGCGGGTACATCACGGGACATAATTACCACCACTGGGAGATTTCTTGAAAAAATTGTATATATGTTTTTGGCAATATTGGATTTGTTTGGTACATGAATTGGTGCTGTATTCTCTCGAGAGTGCAGATGCATTTCACAATAAACTTCATGAAATAATGGACGCAATAAAGATTCTTATTATACAGTATTCCATAATGTTTTCCACGCATTCAAACATTGCAGAGGAATAATAAGGTGAATGTTTACTATAGCTGGCTTGCCGCATTATGACGCAACAGTATAAGAAACAAGAACTGTCTGTTTTCGTGGAAATTATTCCATTTTTGCGTCCGTCATTTTTTTTTACAAAGGAATTCTAACGAAAAAAATGAATACCACAGTAGCATATGTGAACGATTTGGAAATTACGAAATACTGTGGCTCATTTTTGAAAGCAGAAAAATTGCTGCGCTGAAGAATTGATTCGGGAAATATTTGAAACATTCTAGTTGCTTCTATATATAGCAAAGGATGAGATATATTGGAAATTTAACAGAAGAAGGAAAACATTCGGACATGATTGCGAAATTGAAGTACTCTGCGCAGTCCAGAAAAGTCGCTCCAAGGCTCCATCCAGCTTTCAAAGGGAATTTTCACATTTTGTAGCAGATATTCTTTTAAAAGAAATTTGGGTTGAAGTTGAAATAATAAAAATACTCCAGTTTCCAAAAATAAGTTATAGTATACGTAATTTTCAGCAATATCAAGAAATTACTGTATATAGCTCATGCTAGCAGAAAAAGAATATAAAAGCCTTTGTCTAAATCATACCGCATCATTTCCATTTACATACATAGCATCAGTTATTGCAAGGAGCTTTTACAAAATAAATTTCGAGTATAATAGAAATCATAGTTAAACTGTAGAGTCTTTGTCACCACAAATCTCAACTCGGGTGTTCTCTCTGTACAACCATCTTGCTTTAAAAAAATTCTTCATCATTAATTTTTTTATGGTCTCAAAGGGTTGTCTCCACGTGTTCAGGGGTTATCTACAAGAACATTCTCTCTACAACAAAGTTTTCTCTGGTCCCTTGAATTTTTTTCATAGAAATGAGAGTCAACCACAACCCAGCAAAGAATGGGAGCGTTGGGCTGGGGACCGTTTTGACATTGGCATTGGCAACGCCGTTGCAGCACCATTGTCTCAATGGGGCTGATTGCTGCCAACGCCCTTTGCTTTATTGACCTTGAGTGAATGCAATGACAAGGCGTTGGCAATGGCATTCTCCCAACGTTGTGAGAAAAGGCGTTTTGGAATTGGTGTTGCCAACGCGTTGTCAATGCATATTCAAAACGTAATTTAGAAAATTGGGGTGAGGCCATTG